GTGACCTTGTGGTGCCAGCTCCGCCTGTTCCCACCCGTTCACTAGAAGGGACCTTATACGCAGGTGCAGGTGACAGAGCATCTGTGGCCGGCATGGTCCTGCTGCTGCCTGGCTCCAGCCCTCACACACAGCCTGGGGTTTGCAGGACAGAGGCGAGTGTCCAGAAGCACAGCCGAGGCGGTGGCTCTCAGGTGAGGAAAGTTTTGTCAGGAAAACGTGAAAGAGGTACGGGGTGGGAAGTCTTGTCCCAGCATCTCAGGAGGGACATTTAAGCCTTTCCCCGCCAGCGCACCTTGGTCTGCAGCAGATGTGTGGGCCTGAGCCTGGTGGCCTGCGTTAGTCAGGACAAAAATACCTGCCACTTAAGGAGGAAGGAGCTCTTCAGGCTCACTGCTCCAGGGGCCTCGGTCCACGGTCACTGGTTCCAAGGCTGAGACAACATGGAAGTGGGGTGTGGCGGGGAAGCTGCTGGGCTCAGGGCAGCTGGGACCAGAGGCAGGAGAGGCCCAGAGGGAGCGCTACCACCAGAAGGTTCCCCCAGGGACCCACCTCCTCCGGCTGGGCCCTGCCTCCTAACGTCCTGATCGGCTATGCCTCATCAGTGGGTTGACCAGGTTCACACCCTCATGATCCGTTCGGTCTCCCAAAGCCCCTCCTCTGAACCCATGAGTCTGTAGGGGACACCTGAGGTCAAACCATAGCAAGGCCTAAAGCTTTACTGCAGAGAGTGGCAGGGAACACTTGGGGCAGTCCACCCAGTCACCACACCAAGCTTGTCCACCCCTTGGGCCCCTTTGTCCACGTCATGATGAGTCACGGGGTACAGAATTGTGAGTGACAGAAGCCCTAGAGACTCAGGACAGACCAGGCGGCCCCCCAGGCCCGCCACAAGACCAGTTGGACCCTGGCTTTACTTCCTTCCTTTCCCTTGGCACTTTTGTTCCTCTAAGGCGTGCACCCCTGTGCATTAAGCAGCACCCCCATACATCGTATGGCAACAGGCCTTAAGGAGTTCATTCAAGCTACACGTCTCCAGTGGACTCGACACCAGCTGACCCAGCACAGAGCCTCCAAGGCGGGCCTCAGGCAGTTGCTAAGTCCTGTCCTACCTGGTGTCGGATTAGCAGTCTCACCAACAGCCAGCCTCTCACTACCGTTCTGGTTCTTACGGAGTCCAACAAAATGGTCTCAGGGTCATCAAAAGCCCGTACTTTCAGAGGCCCCTTGAAAATGAGGCACTTTCAGCCAGAGTAAATGATTACCCATCGAACCACATGACGTAGTCCAGGGCGGACCACCAGACCTAGGTTGTTTCTAAGCCAAGCAGCCACCAAGCTCCGGAAGGTCACAGGCCTCTCCTAGCACACGAAAGTTCTTGGAACCACCCAGGCCTAGGGCCTCGCTCACAGATGAACCCCGCCGGGGGAGATTCCCAAGATGCAGCTCTTGCTGGGTCACAATGCCTGGCACCCAAAACGGAAAGGTGAGGTTTATTGGAGTCACAGCTTCAGCCCATCATCTGTGGCTGCAGCATGGTGGAAGCAGCTGGTGGAGAGGCCTGGTGGAGGATGAGGTGGCCAGGAGGGGGAGGGGACCTGGGGACAAGAAGACACCCTTCCAGGTCACGCCCCTTTGACCCCCTCCGACCAGCCCCACCGCCTACTGTGAGGCTTTCAGGGGACATTTTATATGTCAACCACAGCGCTCACCCAGTATGAACGCA